GATATGTGAAGCATCCGGATATCTGAATCACCAGTTAAACAAGACAAAATAACATTTAAAAATTTCGTTCCGATGAAAAATCGTACGGATACTGAAGCATCCGGATATCTGGCGTCCGGAAAAAATGAATATTGTCTTAGCCATTATGTAATCATATGGAAGGCGGGGTGGGTGGGTGGGGGTGGGGGTTGAGCTAAGTGCTCAAAGTATCTCTAGCTTTAAAATATACTACATGTACATGTATCAAATGGAATTCATTCATCATCATATATATTATAGACACTGTATCGTCGTGTGTTGGCCTGTTACATGTAGTCTTAAAGTCTATTTTACATACATGTACAATGTATATACCCACTATAATATATCTATGGTCACTTACCTTTTTGGAAAAACTAACTGTCTAGACGGTGTTATGGAGTAAGTCAATCAACAGGTTAACTCAGGGTCTGCTTTGTTTATTTACATTCTTCGGAAACTTTTTTTTCTCAGGGGTATAGATAGATAATCACAGGTAATGGAATTTAAATCTCTCCGTCATGCTTCATGAAACATTCTTTATTCCCTTTCTGTAGAAAAACATTGGCGGATCTTGATATTTAATGGTGACGTGTACTACATGTATTTCTGCCACCTACAATACATGCAGGATAAATGACCTTAACATGCTAGAAAATTATGTCAGTATGCAAGGCAAGAAAATCATGCGTTCATGCATAATACTTTTGTTGACCTGCAGGTGTAATCATATAATCTTTTTAGATACTATTACTTTCATATTATACTGGTAAATTTTTATTTTGCTTAGTAAGATTCAACAAAGCTATCTTGACACGCGACTTTTTTATGTTACATATACAATGCAAGATGTTTAGGTCAACATGCGACAATATATAGGGTGCGCTTGATTTGTCTACACCTTTCAACTGGTGTACACTTTTCCATAATCAAGTGCAAAAGTGTACACTTTTAGGTGTACACCATCTACACCCTGTGCATGGCATCTGTAGGTAATTGCACTGAAAATTCAATATGGCTGACAAATGTCGAGACCTTAAAACTGCAGGATAATTTTTTTATTTGAGTTTACTGTCAAGTTTTATTCTCGAATAAACGCGTTACTTTAGCTTTATATTGCCCATTGGGCTCATTTTCATTGGTAAAAAATCTTTGTGAAAAATGAAAAGTAAAGAGCTATGCTGATCCTGGACCATCACAAGCTACATTTTTTTAAAAGTTTTCTAACTGTTGCATCTATATTACCGTTTTTCAAAAGTTAAACTTCATGATTATAAATTTCGGAGAAATCAACGTTTTACCCTAGGTGTTTTTTTATACACTCTGTAGAGATTTTGAAATAAAATTGTTTTAAGATCAAGATCTCAGAAAATTGACAAAATAAGGAAAATTTGTCAATATAGTGTCCCACAACATGGGTGAAATTTTCATTTGTCTCTGTTAGATTCACTGTCACTGTAATATACGACATCGTTATTTGATGTCGCACCAAGTGGTCATTCCATTGTTTACGAAAACATTTACAATAAATTCAAAGAGTAAAAACTCTTTGCTGTTTATATACCCTTATAGCTTTGATTTATGGCGCTAGCTATTGTTCACGAACTCTTCAATAATCCCTCGGATGTATGAATATTGGAGAAAAATTAGGAAAAATAGACCCCTCCTCTTCCCTAATAAATTTGTAATTAACAATATCCATTTATATTTAATATTTGAAAAGCATCATATGGTACCTTAAGCTCATGAAATAATACATTGTTCACTCACTTTTAATCTTTGTTTCTACAGGGTACAATTTTAAAGTAATTTTAAAAAAAAAAAAAAATCTGTTGACTAATCTATCCTATTCTTGCATCATTTTTCCAGTACATCTTCTGAGGAAATGATATTTTACAAATAAATTCATGAAAGTTCCCCTCAGTGTTCATGTTCTTATCTTAGTCAGAGAAGAGCAAGGTTCCTGAGAAACATTACTGTCTGCATATATATTTATATTTCCAATGTCTTTGTCCGAGATAAAATTATATATAGTTGGCTATGGAACGCCATCACTGCCTTATAGCATAAAACTATGCATTCATTATGTCAATCTATCATGACGTGATGTGAACATATCTTTACGTTATGTCAATTTTTTATGGGGTGTTGTAAAAATATCTTTACATCACGTCAATGCTGCATTACATGAAGTGAACACATTCTTCCATTATGTCAACACTTTATAACTTGAAGCCCAAAGTTCATTATGTGAAGTGAAAATATATTTACATTGTGTTAAAACTTTATTACGTGAAATGAATGTATCTTTATATTATTTCATTTCTTTAATATGCGAGGTCAAAATTGCATTACGTCAAGTTAATTTCGTTTTACATGTGTTCTATGATTAAATTTATCATTACGTTAAGTCAAAGTTCATTCCCTTTTGTGAGTGTATATTTCTATAATAACAAAGCATTATTACGTGATGTAAATGTATCTTTATTTTACGCCGAGGTCATCACAATGTTAGGTGAAAACATCTTACCTTTATATCAGTGCTTTATAACGTGATGTAAAAAGGTTTATAATATAATGTGAACATATATTATGGAGACAGTCCCGGCGTTCCATATTATATCAACACTTTATTACATTATGTCAAAACTCCATTCCGTGATGTGTATATATAATTATGTTATGTCAAATCTTTCTTATATGATTTAAGAATATCTTTATATTGTGTTAACTCTTTATTATGTTGATTCAAATGTTCATTACGTGCTGTAAAATACATTTACATTATGTCAAAGTTGATAACCGTGTTTTCACGACAGGGAAGGGGGGGGGGGTGTTCTGATTAATTAGGGCGAATTAGAGACACGTTATATAAGGGAGGAGGGGGTCTGGCTTCCTCTTTTTTTGACATAACTTTATCGTAGAAAATGTTCATTGAAGGGGTTTGAAATTCCGCCCCACTTTTTGCTGAAGTATAAGGGAATTTTTTTTTAGGACTGATCGAAGTTGGACCCCCCCTCCTTTCACCCAAATAGGATTTTTGAGTTTGGACGTTATTTTTTTCCTGGCTGACAAACCTCCCCCAACTTTCAAAAACGATGCAACGTCACTGGAACTAGCCATTTTTAAACCATTCCAGGTCCAGAATTCTGTTACTAAATTCTACCAGTCCCTCACTGGTCCTTGAAAAGAGTAGCTATAGAGGGACGGTATGGTGTCTAAGATGGGGACCAGGGGGAACCAGCATGGAAGCTCATGCTTTAGTGGGTTTTTTTTTTTATAAAACGTTTTAATTTATACTTTATGTGAAACTAATGCAATGTCCTACAAAGTAAAACCAATTGATTAATTTCATGCATATTTTGGTCACTAAAGATGAGAGGGAGGGATCCCCCCTCTCCCCACCCACACATCGGTGCACTATGAAATGCGGTGCGTTTACACTTTAAAAAAAAAGGGGGAGGGTTATGGACTGATAAAAAGCTTAGGACAGTGTTTTGTAGTTAGATCAGAAGTTTCGGACTTTTCAAAATAAAATGAAAAAAATTGCTGCATTATAGATATATACACATACTATTTGATTTGCGATAATTATGAGAGTAAACGGCCATTGAATTTCGACGTTAAAAGAAACAATCGTCAATAAAGATTCCACGGGAACATGATCCTATTTATAAATTTTAACCTGATATTTAATTAAGGCATTACTGAGTCCTGTGTATAATTTAATATTTGATATAATTAATTAAAATTATTTGCATGATTAACATATGTCCATGTAATATTGAAAACACAAAACGAACTTTTAGGCATAACCTAAACCTTATGTCACACAATAAAGAGTTGAATATTCTAACCATTTTAGACACAATGTAAAGATACAATGGCATAACATAATAATGATTTGTCAAAAAGTAAGGGAAAATTGACATCAGGTAATAGATTCCCGTCGTCCTGTAGCATATTGATGACACAATGTAGTAAAGAGTTGGCCACAAGTGAAAATTTGTTCAGATCATGTAATGAAATTCTGACATCGTGTTATAGCGACTTGATATTGCATTAAAGATAAATTCACATCATGTAATGAACTACTTAGACTAAATAGTAGAATGTGCACATAATGTAATAAAGAGTTGAAAATATATAAAAACATCTTTACACCACGTAAAATTGTTTTGACTTAATGTCATAAAGACCTGATATAATGCAATGGAAGATTGGCGCAATCTAATTAAAGTGCGAGTTAATGCCATAAAGACTAAACATAATGTAATGGAAAGTTGACATAACGCAATAGTAGTGTGTGTAAATGTCATAAAGAGTTGACATAATGTAATGAAAGATTGACACAATGCAATAGCAGTGTGGACTAATGTCATAAAGAGTTGACATAATATAATGGAAGGTTGACATAATGCAATAGTATCGTGGGTTAATGTCATAAAAAGTTGACATAATGTAATGAAATGTTGACATAATGCAAAAGTATTGTGGGTTTATATCATAAAGAGTTGACATAATGTAATGAAAGGTTGACACAATACAATAATAGGTTGAGTAAATATCATAAAGAGTTGACATAATGTAATGGAAGGTTGACAAAATGCAATAGCAGTGTGAGTAAATATCATAAAAAGTTGACATAATGTAATGAAATGTTGACATAATGCAATAGTATTGTGGGTTTATATCATAAAGAGTTGACATAATGTAATGGAAGGTTGACACAATGCAAAAGCAGTGTGAGTAAATGTCATAAAGTGTTGACATAATGTAATGGAAGGATGACGCAATGCAATTGTTGTGTTCTGCTATAAGGCAGTGGCGGCGTTCCATAGTTGGCCTAATATAAAAATATTGCATGTAGTTGAGTGTAACATTGAGGCGCCATTTCGATCGAGGTGTCATTTCTTTGGCAACAGCAGTTACTCCCTCCCATTATGACAACTCTCGGTCGCCATAATTCATGTGATTGAGAAATAGCATCTTATCGAAGATTGATATTTAAAGCAGGTGTTTTCTGAGGAGATTTGGTCGATTTAAGCGCCATTGCAGGTAAGGCAACGATATCCTATTATGAATTTCCGAAAATACAACTGTGCTGACGTTGAATGAGTGCATTTTCCCGGTGTCTGTATTGCCTGCTGCTCCATACTCCCCGTCGAGGCCTCATCTACAGAGAGACCAAACGAACTCTGGCAGAAGTTTGCCTGCTGCTCAAAATAAACACGGACAAAAAGTTCACACGTTTGTCGAAAGATAACAAGAAATAATGTAATGGTGCGGGATCAGGGCCACAATCCTTTAGAAATATTTCCGTTATTTTCTTTTTTATTCTAACTACCTTTTCCGAAGACAAAAAATAATTTAGATTTTATTTTTTTGTTTTATTTCAACTTAAAAATTTTTGAATTGAAGTTTATTTTTATTTGAATCATTACGCACTTATACACGGCTTATTACGCGGATCTAGAGGGACCATAGGCGTAGTCACAGGGGGGGGGGGGCAGCGGGGGCACTAGCCCCCCACTTTCAGATCTGGGGGGGGGGGCAAGAGTATGTCTGTGCCCCCCACTTTTTAATGAAGAACAGCTATTTTGAAATAATATGAAACCTCATTTTATGGCATTTTTTCTATGTTCAAGAACTGAGTAAGCATTTATGTTGATAGTTGTATAATGCGGGTCAAAAAATTGGAAATAAAAGTAACTTGCCTTTGAAAAAAATTTTTTTATTTAACCCCCCCCCCCCCCCCCCCCACGATATAGGATTTTCGAGTTTGGGGAACTTTCACTTTAGGTTTTTTTTTTTTTTTTTTTTTTTGCTTGTCAAAGAATTTCTGGACTTGAGCCCCCTCACTTTTAAGTTTGTGACTACGCCTCTGAGAGGGACATTATTTTTTTTAGGTCTTAACAGAAAAATCGGCGACTTTCAATGTCGGAGAATAGTCACTATCTACATACATGTTCAATAAAATGCAAACTATCCGTTGAGTAGGAACTTTGTTAAAAATCCTTCAGCAGAAAGTTTTCCTACTCAAATATATATGTATTTACACAATTTATATTACATTTATGAAATTTCTCTCAATAAATTTTAACTACCGGGTATGATTTTAAAAAAGATTAAAAATAATTGAGATAAGCTTTCGGAGGAACCCCCCCCCCCACCCCCCGCACCATATTAAATATTAAGGAAGAGAGATTCAGGGTCAAATCGCTGATCTAAGCAACAATAGCCAACTGACTATTGATATTTTTGGCCAAAGTTGTCTTACAAGATAAAATAAAGAAACTGGTTAAGACGTTACTATTGTAGACTTGTGAATTTGTGAATTGCCTACGTGTTTAATTCAGAGCGCGGCAGTATAGATTTCGGGAAAAAGTACATAACATTAAAAATTTAAAGTATAAAAGCAAAGTTTACACAGTTGAATCTTTAAAAACTACATGATAGGATGACATTGTGTCGACTGCAGACGTTAATGCTCCTAGGGATCTGTTCTAGCTAGAGTCATAGAGTAAATTCACTGCGAATCCACTTCTGGGCATAGAGACCTGGCCTCTGACAAACCCGGCCTTTCACAAAGGCTGCAACATAGATATTGAAATAATGTCATCATATATCTAATCGGTTCCCTGTTCAGAACACAGACACCTGACAAATGGATGGTGTAACAACCCCCCCCCCTTCCCCAATTTCTGAAAATTTATTTTAGAAACGTTACAAAACCATATAAAAAATACATGATTTCCTAGTCTTTCATTCTTATATTTCAATATCTGCTATCATTTTACGCTTCTGGTAAGATTTGGAGCTTGACCCTATACGGTATATAAAATGATTATGTATTTCAGAAAAAAAATTGTATTTTTAAAATACAAATTCTCGGATTCTGGGGAAATGGGGGAGGGTACATCACCCATTCGTTAGGCCTGTGGTTCGCAACTGGTCAAACGACTGAACTAAACAATTAAATCTATATGTACATATATCATTTCAATAACATAATAATTAAAAAGAAGAAAAAAACTAAAATCCAATGATAATGTAGACATAGAACAAAGAAAATGAGTTGAATTTTCGTCTTTATGTGGATTTCTTTAGGTTAAATGCATGCACAACCTCAAAATTTTAACATCAAGCAGTTATACCTTGGTCATAACGTTTGCATATCATAAAATGACATCCTAAAGAAAAAGGGGAGCCTTATAGGGGACATGTATTGCTTAAACAATATTCTCAGAATACTCGTTTTCTTTGCTGTCCTAACCTTATCTATTTTTGAGGAGCAATTGACAATTTATTAAGACGTCCTTCTTGTAATAACATGTATGTTTATACATATCATATTGATTCATATGACTCGCGGTACCATTTAAAAATCTCTTCTTCTTAAGATAGAATAGTATTATTTAAATTACCTTTTGAAACAGTGAAATAGCTTAACAGTGCCTTGCACTCTGACATGCAATTTTAAAGATATATTATCCCACTGGTGAAATTAGTTCCATGTCAAATTTAAAAAAAAAGTCCAAATCCTTCTTAATTTTTATGGCGGCGAGCTTTAGCTCGGCGCTCATCTAGCTATGGGGAAAATCTCTGACTGTTCACTGCTTTCTTCATGCGCCAAATAATATAGTACTTGAACCAAGGCCTTCATGTTTCTGGCGTAGGAAAATATAGGCCAATTTTTTGCATTTATTCTATTTAAAAGCACATTCTGAATATGCATGTTAGTCATTTATTTCATTTTGAACTTGTACATGTTTGTCTGGCGTTAGACAATACTAGATTTAGCCAAGGCTTGTGGGTCAAGTCTTTCAGTAGAATTATTGTGATAACTCATCTTGGAAACTTATTTCATATTATTCTATCTTAACCAAGGGGATTAATAGAACCATGCTAAACACCAAAACAAACCAACGCATTAGACCTAATTATTATCTCATTATACATTTACACGTTACATAACATTTGGCCATTCTGTTATGCATCAATATCATTCATCTACATCCAGTAAAGCTTTTCAGGTCAACGTTATCAGATTAACCAGTACTAATAGATGTTTATTTTCACTGCATACAGTCTTTCTGCCTTTAGAATAACACATATTCCTAACTTTGCAGACGTTTGATTTAGTCATAGTTTAAAAATTTCAAGAGAAAAATGATGATAGTTGAACTTGATAAACTTTTTCTGTGTTTATAATCAGAAAGATTTTATCTCATTTATAACAAGTATATATATTACAATGTATTTTAAAAAAGAAATACATGTATCATAATTCTCCAAACTGTTCACCAAATAATGTTTAGATTTTTAAAATGTGTGATGTAACTTTTTCTTTCAAAATTAAATAAGCACTGGTTTTATATAGTATTTGGGAAAAGGCTAATAAGAAGAAATTTCACGGGGAAGGGTGCACAACCAAAAATTTCAGGGGGTAGGGCACTAACTAGGATTTTTTTTTATCAAGCAAATAAGTTAATATAAATATGGAATTGTTTCATGACATTTGGGACACAGGCATAAAGTAGCTATGTTTTCTATAGCATATAATTATATATCGGCAAAAATGGGGGTTCCCTCCTCTTAATGTTTCCTACGGCCATAAAAAAAAAAGAAAATTACAAGTACCGGTAATACAGTTTAAGTCTATGTAGAATAAATTCATCTCCAAGCTTTATTTCATGTAGGTACAACTGGATTTAATTTTTAATATTATTATTAGCAAAATAATTTATTTCTGGACTCAGAATTATGTTGATCACACTGAATTCAACTTTTTATAAGTTCTTCATATAATAATAAATTTTGCTCATGTCAGACAAGCTTTTTAAGAAAGCTAATACTTGTTATGATTTACTTGTAGTACTTGGGCTGAAATAGTCTTGTCCAATGATTCCTTGCAATTCCTTATTGGGGTCATGTAACGGCTGTATCTATTTTTAATGCTTTTATTTCATAAATGCTTCAAACGGGGTATTCTAGATATACAACTAAACTCATAAGAGATTCTGTAGACATATGCATACTTTTAAACATGCTTGAAAATCAAAAAAATTCACAGTATCACTGCCATATCTAAAGCGCGACGCCTTTGTGGCCCTTCAGGCCTTTGATTTTGAAAGCTAGATATACAAACAATTTTTGTTTAATTCAATATATTTATGTTTTATAGATAAAGAAGATGATGCAGGCCCAAGTGGTGTCTGCTGTCGTGTATCAAATAGCTAAAACTATAAATTGTGGACAGAAGTATATATTCGACCTCGGATACGTAACCAATGAAAGTCTGTGTGTTTCTGTTGTAAATACAAAAGACAAATCTACTTCTAGTAATTTCGACAATGGTGCTTTTCGATTTTTTTCTACTTCTTCGACCTATTTATGTTATGTAAGGTCAGACGAATCTGAGTATATCATATTTTCGGAAAACGGATGTTTGATATGTTGGATAACACTTCCTAATTCAAAAAACACTATTGACAGATGGTATTTATCAGAGGATGAACTATGGAAAGGCTACACCCCGAATGGAATTGCAGCCTGCAAATCCGGAGGAATTTTGGTTTGTCTGTGGAATAAACAAGTACTCGAGCGCTCTCAAGGTAAAGTTGTCAAGCTGTCTCTGGATCAATATAAACTTCTGGAAATAGAAATAAACAAAAACCGTCCACTCTTTACATGTCCGACCTACATAGCAGAAAACGGCAATGAAGACATCTGCGTCTCTGATGTGAATGCCGTGGTCGTTACGGACGCCGCAGGTTTACTGAGATTTAGATACAAAGGTCTGTCAGATGATTCTCAGTTTGATCCATACGGTATCTGTTGCGATTCACAGAAGAACATAATTGTTGCAGACGTGATGAAAAACAGAATTCATATGATTGACGAAAATGGTGGATTTCTTCACTACATTCAGTACAAAGATATGAACAAGCCACGAGCCCTCTGTATAGACGAGAATGACAAATTGTATGTTGGAGAATGGTCTTCTGAAGAAATCAAAGTACTTTCACGTCAATGATTTGACCACCAAAAATTGACAAGACTGGTGGGCGGTATCAATATATGACAGTTTCTCGTAGTGTATACTTTTATATGTAGATCTTTTAAGCTTTTATGTGAATTGTTTAATAATTCTTAGTAACTATATGAGAGATTCAAATTGCTAATTTGGTCAAAGGACATGATTTATTTCTTTCCAGCAATGTTTTGTTGTTCATTCTTTTTTTTTTCAAATCATCAGCATATACATGTATCTCTTTTGCCATGTTCTTTTTATATTGCTTTAAATGAAAATTGAACTAAACATACATTTACTATGTTAATTTTTATTATTTTTTTTTCAAGGACACTTGTTACAAACATTTTTTTCTTTGGAGGAAACGTATTTCATCTCATGGGCTTAGAAAAGTGGATATTTTTTTTTAATTTTTCCTCCTTAATCTTTGAAAATGAAATAGACTTAAAAAATATTACTTCAAACTCAATGGAATATCATTTTTTTTTTTCGTCTACCTGAAAAATAACATGGAGGTTGTGATCAATATATTATGCATATGAGCCGGCGATCGGTCAACTGGGTATGCTAATTCCAATTGGGCATGCACTTGATCCCACCTCTGGTTCCCAGGGATCGTGTTTCATGTCCTCTTCACAGATTCATATTGTTTAGAGACTTTTGAGATCGATCATTCTTTTATATTTACATTTGCAAATATCTTTCTTAGATGAACCTATTTAAGAGAAAATACGTTCACTTCTGTGTGAATTTCATTTGGGGGTCAGAGGTCATAGCGCGTTCGGATCACAGAGCGACAACTTCTACAATGTAGGTCATTGTGCGTCACTACAATGTCATAACAATACGTTGGTCCGAGTAATAAATACAATTTTACTCGAAATGTATTCGTCTCAAATGTAAATATAGGTAATAAACAACAATGTTAAAAAGTTCACTGTGAAATGAACTTTTAGTTGGTACGTGATCAAATCTACGGAGAAGCCGGAGATTCGCTTCTATATACATGTATGATCGATATAATGAGCTTACATGTATCAGTAAATATGATGTATCAGTAAGTCAAATACATACATTTTATACATTATTCATACATTTTTTGGTCATTATTTATACACCTATTACTCGATAATGACGAGAAGCACACAGCGCGTTTGACAAGTTGACAGGGGATGCTTACTCCTTTATGACACCAGGTTCACTATCTGATGTCCCTGTTGCATCAAATGTGTATTGATGAAATGGAACCTGATCTTTTACACTGTTTGTTTTTTAAATTCAACAGGCACTCTATTTTTTTTTTCAGATTCCTTAATTTAATCTATAATTTAGCCATAATTTACCTCTGCAAGTTTTGCGTTATTTTTGTTCCCATTAAACATCGTAATGTTTGTTGACTTTGTCATTAAACCCTTGTAATAATGTTGGAACAGAGTGACAAAGAACCTTTGAAAAAAAATCAATCAATTTAAAACATCACATGCAGGAAAGGATGACTGCACTTAACGTCGGTTTTGGGGTGTTTTTCAATCACTGTTGTTACATTTATTTTTGTGCTTATTTTTGCCTTAAGTCATTTGTTATAGAGTTTGATCTATTCCCAAATGAAATACAATGTCATTATGGTTATAAACAGCGTTGCAATAAAATAATTCGTTGTTTTCTTACTCCACCTCTCTGCAAATATCAGGAATTTAGACTTATCTTCCCATGATTGAAGATAAAATTTATAAATATGCATAAGAGGTGGGGCTAATATTGTAATGAGTGGTCTAAAATTAGAATAGTTACTGTATTTATATTTGGTGCTCTCTCTTTCTATCTCTCTCGCCATTTGTATGTCACTATTATTTTTTAAGTTTTCAAACAAAATATATATAACTAACATCGACCGGTAGAAGAAGCCATTGATAATACACACTTAACTAAACAAGCTTCAAAAGCAATGTATGGAGTACTTAGAAAGATAAGGTATCTTAACTTGCCAGTAGATTGTCAAATAGATCTTTTTGACAAAGTTATAAGCCCGATTTTGTTGTACGGGTGTGAAGTTTGGGGCTACGAAAACATAGATATTTTAGAAAAGGTACACTTGAAATTTTTGAAATTTGTTTTGCATGTTAAGTCCAGTACCCCAAATTGTATGGTGTATGGGGAAACTGGGCGATATCCTTTAATAATACGTATAAAGGTACGAATGATTACTTACTGGGCTAAACTTTTGATGTCACATGAGAGTAAGCTGACATACATAATGTATTGCTTTCTTTAGAAACAATTTTCTGACGGATCATTTATGCACCCATGGTTGAAATGTATAAGGGATATCTTGAATTCCTGTGGCCTGTCTTATGTGTGGATAAATCAAAATTTCATTAGTGTTACATGGTTAAAATCTATTGTGAAAGAAACGTTGTTAAATCAATTTTTACAAGACTGGCATATGAACATAGAAAATTCACCTAAATGTTTAAATTACAGGATTTTCAAAAACAATTTTGGACGAGAAATTTACTTAAGTAAACTCCCAAAAGACTCAAAAATTGTGTTAAAAAAATTTAGAACTTGTAACCACAAACTCCCAGTAGAATCAGGTAGATGGACTAATACTGATAGATTATGTAATTTAAGATTATGTAATTTATGTAACAAAAATACTTTGGGGAATGAATTTTACTATATAATGGGGTGTCCATATTTTTTGTCTTTACGGGTAAAACTTATTGATAAGAAGTATTGTCTTCATGTAAATACTTATAAATTTGAGAAAATTATGTCCATCACAAATGTTGATTCACTGTTTAAACTGTCTTTATTAGCTAAAAAGATATTGGCCTGCTTTTAGTAACTATTTAATTGATACTACACTTCCTCACTTGACTTTGTGTCACAGATGTTATATTTTAATTTGTTCTAATAATTGGTGCACATTGCCAATTAAGCACGTTCGCTGCGTTTGTGTGTTGTGTGTCTGGTGTGAATGTTTTGAGAGGTCATGTGACATTGTTATTCTTATATTTACACGTGTTTCCGGTTTGGTGACCTAACGTGACCTTACTGCTGACCGAGACCGACCGTTTTTACCCCATTAATATGCATGTTTTAACTTCTGCACTCAGTATATAAGCTCTGTACCCGCCAAATTCTTTACCCCCACGATTTTTGCCTTTACGGTAGAAGACTGTGTATCATATTCTAAGTATTCCTCATAGAATTTACTTGGAGTTTATTAACTGGATTCCTGGTAAGCTTTCAGTTTACCTTTATTATACTCATTATGTAAACATATTTTATATTTTACCTTTATTAATTAATTCCGACAGCGAACAATCATATAATTTATGTGTTGTTATGTCTGATCTTAAATGTAAAGTTTTGTCTTGTGTGTATTGTGTTGTGAGAGTGTGTTTGATTTATAATTTGTAAGTTTATTGCTATATTAAGGGGGATGTAAGGCCACCTTTAGTGCAGTGAGAACAAAATGTAAACATTTCTTCAAATGGCTAAAATACATTATATTTTGATCAAATTTTAAGTCCTTATGATAAAGATAAAATAAACATGCATAACTGAATGCATGTTATGTATATATAATCTATACTTTTGCAGAAAAATGCTTTTGATATGCTCTTTAGAACTGCGCAGCTACAGAATTCAGCAGAGCCTTAAAAAATCCAAAAAAAATATGCAAAGTGTGCATTAATGTTCTCTCTACAACCATTTGTTGAGAAAATGTCTAAATTTTGCACTTTTAAATGATAATTTCAAGTTCAAAACAAGGTACCGTTGTCTTCAAAAAGACTGCAAAGAACCATGAAAGTAGATCATGGATAGCAGCACGTGGTCTATTTTTAGCACAGAATTTTGTTTTCCAGACCTCTTCTTAATATGGAGGGACATAACAATCTTTAAATGTAGAAGAAAATTACAGATGCAAAATATTTCAAATACATGAACACTTTTAAAAGAGGAAAGGTGTGTAGCTTGAAGTAATTTATTTAGTATTATTATCGAACAGTTGTTGAATAGTGTACGTGTTGATATAAAAAAAAATCTTAAACTCTTTGATTTAAGTAAAGGAAAAATGAGCCCCATGAAAGTTAAAAATTAAGAGTGTAAGTTTGCCACAGATAACTTATATTATCTATCAAAATTTTAATTATCACCAATGAAACACAAAGAAATAAGACACATATAATCGATATGAATGACCTTGTTTTAATACCTACTAGTACCAGGGGTGATAAAAAAATCCGAACTATCTCTATATCTACAAAACCACAATTCAGATTAGAAACATAGCCAAACACAAGTTCTATAAATAGCATCTGCTGAAGTTTTGCTCCTTGTTTGTGATGTCACAATCTGAAAATGACGTCATGCAGGTACTTGTGACGAAAATTCTATTTGCCCATATTGTCAAAAATTAAAATTTTACAAAGTAAAGAAAAAAAATCAACATAATTTAATATTTTATACCATCTTTAAAATGACGTTTGGTGGTCCTCCCAACTCAGGGAAAAATTATTGGGTTCTTATTTATAGGTGAGAAAGAAATTCCTTAAAATTTAAACATAATTGTTGACGGAAGAAAAAGAAAAAATATCGTGTAATGGGATGTAGAAAAATGTGTCGGGCCATTTCCAGGCAGTAGATCGGGAGAGAGGGCAACCAAATATTTTTATAACAGGTGGTCTTACAAGGCTAGTACATATTCCATCACGTACTTAGTAATGCAATTTTTTAAAATCTTTTGCACTATTTTGAAAAACAAACAGGATTTTCGGGGGGGGGGGGGGGGCTCTCTCACATTTTTTGCGATGATAGACATAGCATATGCGATGGACATTTCTTTGCAAACATTTTGCTCGCTTCTAAATTTTAAAGAAACAACTCAATATATTTTATCAGACTTCGTATTTGTCAATGAGTGAGTGCTTACAACGTTGTCAACATAATGAGACATGATGTGTTTTTATGTCCAAACATTACTCCATACGATGTGTTGGTCATTGCAAACAATCTAGCTATTTATGTGAGGTGCCTGAAGGAAATCATATAACT